GAAAGCGTGTTTATGAGTGAGGAGACAACGTGTATACTAAGTGAAGTAGAAACACTGAAAGAAGAGGAAAGAGGTAGCGAGATAAGTATAGATGAAATAATGAAAGCAATGAAAAGCATGAAAGTAGATAAGGCTGCCGGATATGATAGAGTTTCACTCGAAATGCTAAGGGCTGGAGAGGAATTGGTGGCAGGCCTGCTGCACACCTTGTTTAATTTATGCTGGGAACTGAAGCGGGTACCCGTAGACTGGTGCAAAGCCGTGATAGTCCTAGTATATAAAGGAAGAGGGTCGCAGCAGAACTGTAAAAACTACTGTGACATCAGCCTTCTTAGCATTGTGGGAAAACTGTATGCTAAGGTACTGATTGAAAGGGTCATGAAAGAAACTGATGGAAAAATTTGGGAAGTGCAAGCGGGATTTAGAAAGGGAATGGGATGTACAGATCAAGTCTTTTCCATGCGCATGATCGCGGAGAAGTTTCTGGCCAAAAACCAAAAGGTTTTTTGTGCGTTCATGGACTTGGAAAAGGCCTATGACAGAGTGGATAGGGATTTGCTATGGCAAACACTGAACTCATTTGGGTTGAGCGCTGGCTTGATACAGGCATTGGAGTCTCTTTATAGGAACTCTAGTGCTTGTGTTAGGATCAACGGGGTCTACTCGGACTGGTTTGACATCCATAAAGGTGTCAGACAGGGCTGTGTGGTGCTTCCCCGTGGCTGTTCAACCTATTTATGGACAGTTGTTTGCAAAATTTGAAAGTTGAAGAATGCGGATTAAAAATGGGTGAGTTAACCGTCAAATGCCTTTTGTACGCCGATGATCAAGTTATTCTTGTGTCGTCGGCGGCCGAGTTGCAAATGATGGTTACATTAATGAACGGAACATTAAAAGAAAGGGGTATGAAAGTGAACGCAAGTAAGACGAAGGTTATGGTTTTTGAAAGAGAAGAAAGTAAAACGATTTGTAAAATAAGAATAGAAGGGGGAGTTGATCGAGCAAGTAGATGAGTTTGTATATTTGGGCTTCGTATTTAGCAGGGATGGGAGATATGATAAGGATATAGAACGACGAGTGAATGCGGGAAATAGAGTAAATGGGGCCTTGCACTCTATTGTGAAGAGTCAAAATGTGTCGAAAAAGGCACGTATGGCAATTCACAATGCTGTGTTGGTCCCTACTTTAACGTATGGTAGTGAAAGTTGGGTGTGGCAGAAGAAGCACGAGAGTAGAATAAACGCAGTAGAAATGCGGTCGTTAAGGAGTATGTTAGGGCTGAATCTGAATGACAGGGTAAGAAATTGTGTAATAAGAGAAGAGTGTGGTTTGCAAGATGATGTTGTGACCAGGATTAAGAAAGGAATGCTTTGGTGGTTTGTTCATGTGGAAAGAATGAACGAGGAAAGAGTGACAAAGAAAATTTATCGTGCAGAAGTGAATGGCAGAGTCGTAAAGGGACGTCCTAGGCGAAAATTTATCGACCAAATTGGCGATTTATTGAAAACGGGCCAAATTAGGAGTACCCTTAACCGACGAGCATGTATACGTAGGTGTATGGATGTGAAGGAGGCAAGAGAGGTGTGTCAGGATCGTGCCAAATGGAAGTCTGTAGTCTCTGCCTACCCCTCTGGGTGACAGGCGTGAGTGTTTATGTATATATGATTTCTGATTGCATCGTCGTCAAAGGTGTCAATATCTGTCACGGGTTTAGTTCTACGTTTCTTCTTCGGAGTACGTAAAATATTATCTTCCGTGCCAGTAGAGCCGAACTTTTCTTTATTAATATTTGTTATCGTTCGTTTGCTAACTTCAAGCGCCTGAGAGACGCGTTCTTGTACTTGTTCGACAGGTAACAGGGGTCCGCCATTTTGCCGCTCCCGCTCAAAGTAATCTTGCAGCTTGATGATTAACTCACGGGCTCCACTTTTCAATGTTTGTCCACGTTTAGGCATTATTATGCTCCAAAAGTAAAGAGAACGCAATACAAAACACAATCGAAGTCCGATTTAGCGCCGATGTCAGTTTGAAAAGCAGAAACAGTCCATTAAACGAAAGCCGGGTAATCAAATAAAAACAGATCGAAAACACTTGAAGAACGTGGTCTATGCGCACGAAACGACAATAGACGACTGTTTTAGCGTCACAAAATGGCGGGCCATAACGCCATTTGGGGTTACCATTTTCAACCTAAATATAAAAATGCTACTTTCTTTCGCACGTTCGGTTTGGTCGTAGTTTTATTTTTATATTTAATAAAAGTTATCCTATAGTACATTATTTTCAAAATCTTAAAAATAAAAACAAAATGTATTATTTTATAAAAGTATAACTGTATAAGAACAGATTACGATACTGTTATTGCCTGTTATTGTTAGCACAGCACTACAAATTGTGTTAATTTTTGATTTAAAAATTACGATCTCACTTTTCTTGACATTATATCGTAGGCCGTCAGCCGTTGCGTACATCTCACAGATACTGAGTAATTATCTTTTTTTTTAATTGAAGGGCTCAGCAGCACTATACCGTCGTAACTTATGTTGTTATATGCAATATTATCAATAGAGCAGCCGACTCCACTACCACCGAGTTCACCAATCAGACTGATCACGTAGAGGTTAAACGTTGAGGAGAATACAGGCAGCCCTGTCTTACCCCGCACTCCAGCCCATACGCCTCAGAAAGCACTCCTGCCCACCTCACCTGATTCTGTTGATTGTCATACCAATACTAAAACAGACCTATGAAGTCATTAGGAAAGTCATTAGTTTCAGTAGACAGCTTCTTCCAAAGTATATTGTATTTAACCTTATCAAATGCCTTTGATAGGTCCAAAAACAGCCTATAACAGAAGTCCTACGATTTGTGTAGTAACGTATGGTATGCTTGAGACAAAATACAGCACTTTCTGTGGATAACTGCGGTCAAAAACCAAATTGTGCATTACACAGATTAAGGGATGCCTGTAACTTCCTCTCAAGCAGATCACTTTCGCTATAGTAGTAACCAGGGAGATAAGTCTATAATTGTTTTTGTCCGACGTATTTTCCGTTTTATTTTTCAGTACTGGCACAAGAATCGTACAATCGTTTTCATAAAATCAGAAGGTAAGTACGAGTGTTCTATGCAAAAAATAAATAACATGGCCAGCACACGTGGAAGGTGGACACCTGTATACTGCAGGTGTTCTGATATTGATATTGATAGTGAGAGACTGATATTGCATTGTGATAACCTTTTCGGTTGACATGATCAACATTAAAAAAATGGTGAAAACGTTTCATAGGCTAGGCAATACTTGAATATTATTGCGCAATATTATTACTTTTTTATAGAATAGCATATCACAAACAGTCATTTTGCGAAATTAAAAACACCGGTGCTTGACGTATGTTCGCAGTGAACGTCGCTGGTGTAATGGCGGAACGATCGAACGAATACGCCAATATTGGCGCCTTTTAAATGGAAGCGTTTTAGGCGCACGTAGCACGTACACGGTATCTGGACCTATAAAACATCTTCGATAAAAACTTTAGTGTTCTTGTACTATGCAGATGCCTATTCGTGATTATAAATAACAAGGCGGGGAAAAAGTTTCTTCGTATTTTGTTTGTATAAAATTGAAGAAAAGCTCTTTGGTTTTAGTGTTTGTATCTGGCTGGTTTTAATGTTATTGGTAATTTTTTATCCCAAAAATAATTAAAACTACGTAAATTACAGTCACACTAAATCTGTACAGTCAAAACAAACTGAAATGGACCGTAACGCAATAAGACTTTTACGCCCGTATTTAAGAACCACCCTTACGTGTGTTGGTTCTCACTGCGAAGTGTCCGATTTCTCACAGTGTTGGAGATGTCCATAGACTTGTTTCATAGTCAACACTTAAGTATTTCTTCACTCAGTGAATGCTTAGGGAACGTAGACAGAGAAACCAATAGACTAATGGTAGCTTGCTACGTATTTATTTATCTATGACTAATGGTAAGTGTGGTCTTGAGTGAGATAGGACGATAACGTAGTTTTAGGTTATACAATAATCTTTATCACTTTTAAACATATTTGGATAAAATTTAAACGTATATTTATATAGTTCTGAAACGAAATTTAAAATTACAATTGAATTTTATGCGTAATACCAGATAAAATGTATTATACTTACTAGTGAAATGATATACCGGTGAGTTTACGTTCACTATCACTTTAACATCCTAAGACACTACATCTAACCATTTTTAAGGTTTTTAATTGTTCTCAGAACTGAACTGAACAAGATTCACCAATCTTGAGCTCACAAAATACTTTTTTCTCACTTAAACCAACTTGTAAACTCTTTAGATCTTCACGAACTGTCAAAGTTTGTTTCGCAAAGTGTAGTTTGCTAAATAAAAAAAACCGGCACGGAGAAAGGGACAAACAATCACACCGCTCTGTCTCATATCTATGCATGACGTATACATAAATCTATCTTTTTCGTGTGCGAATGCGAAAGAAGGCATCAATTTGTCTATAGGTTTCTCTGTCTACGTTAGGGAAGGATTCGACGTTTTGATTGGTCGGTTTCGGGGCTAGCTTCAAGTTGTTATTCAAACGTCAAATGTCAATCAGTATCACAGAGTACCTTTGTATAAACTGAAAATCAGTATTCAGTAGTCAGTACATAACCTTGATTTTTGCAGTTGTTTGTGTAACATTGTTTTATAATTTTTGTGATAATGGAAAAAACATCTCCGGCTAACAGTGCTAAATGGTAATTCAAAGGCTTTTTCTCAGTAATGTTTATTTTGTGCGAGTTTCTTGGTAATTCATTCATAGATACATTATTTTAATTTTTAGCTCAAAAAATAACTTTTCATCAGCCGAAAAAGAACTACTCATAAGTTTGGTGAATGTACGTCTTATTATTGAAAACAAATATACAAATGCCAGGAACATTGAGCTCAAGAGAGCGGAATGGGACGAAATTGAAAATGCCTACAATGCTATACCTTTTGCGATCAAGAGAACGGCATTAATGCCGTTTTCCCAGCGTCTTTCTCTCCTATAATATATAATCTTTAGCTATAATTTATAGCTAAAGAGACGCTGGGAAAATGTAAAAAGTTGTCGTAAGAAGGAATTGTCAATGGAAGCTGGGAGTTTGATACAGACTGGAGGTGGAGTTGGTGAAGCGGGCACTACAGAAAACGTCATAGATAGTATTTGCCTATACATAAATTTGACTGTACCTGGAATCATTGACTCAAACACAGAAGAGGAAGCCCTAGGTAAGAGATTTGTTACATATTAAGCAATAGTAAGGATGAAACTTTATTCTTTGTTTTGTTTACATCACTACTCGCAACAAAGCTTGCATTTTACTTATTTTATAGTAAGTAACAGCAGAGTTATATTATATACTGTAATGGCATTTTTTGGAATTGAAGCAAAATTATTGATTCTGTTTGCAATAAACCTGAGTTCTGTGGAAATACATACTCCAGAGAAAATATACAAAGAAAATGAACATGGTAATATTGTTATTTGTAGTATTGTTAAAATGTTACTTAAAATAAATATGCACAAGAAAATAAATTATATCCAGACATTCTATAAAGTATCTTGTTTTGTAAACATGCTGCTTTATTTTTGGGTATTAACTTCTTGTTTTTTGCAGATAATGAACTCATAGAGAGTATGTCAAAACCAGAAAGTTTAAAAATAAGCAAGAGGAAAAGAGGACTTTTGCCTTTAATAATAATAATATAATAATATATTTTTATTTCAGACCAATAGTCCATATAAAAATGTGTTAGTAAACAATTAACTTATGTAACTATGTTAATACAAAATGTGTTAGTGACTATTACTTATGCTATGTTAGTCCTTAATCTACCTTAACCTATTCAGCACCAGCGTGGGCGCTGAGGCCTAGTGCCGGTGTGCACATCATTCCAGCTCCTCCAGAGAGGGCTGTCTAGCTTAGAGGCCAACGCGCTGAGGAAGGTGTTAGTGCTTCTCACAAGCCTGCTCATCATGGACGCGGCACACTTTCGCACAATCGCGTAGAAGTCATCCACACGACTGTCCGCAAACATTGCCGACGCACTGCAGTTTCGCAGCTTCCTCAACACCGCCCTCAGCACATTGTTGTATTGCACTCTCAGGGCGCCGTAGGTCCGCTGCGAATAGCCCGTCCACAGACTGCACGTGTAGAACGATTGGCAGTAAGCTTTAAACAACGTTATCTTAACCTGCTTTGTACACCGTGCAAATCTGCGGGCCAACATGTTGCCTCTCACCGCCAGCACCCGGCGCTCGCGTTGAATGTCGCTGTCATCCTCCAGGCTGTCGGTTACTATATGGCCAAGGTACCTGAACTCAGTAACCTGTTCAAGGGGACACCCACATAGTTGAAAGGTGGGTTTCAATATGTAATATCTTATTTTTCCCCTTGAACACAAGAAACTCACTTTTATTGGAGTTGTAACTGAGTCCATGTACCTCAGCATACCCTTCACAAATTTGTATTAATCGCCTAAGACCACTGATTGAGGGGCTCAACAGAACCATGTCGTCAGCATAACTAATGTTGTTTATACTGACCCCATCTACCGAACAACCGACACCAGCTCTACTGAGGCTCACAATCAGTTGATTTACATACAAATTGAACAGCCTAGGTGACGTCAGCCCTCCCTGCCGTACTCCACACCCCAGGCTATAATCTTCGCTCAACGCATCATCCCATCTCACCACATTTTTCTGGTTACCATACCAATACTCGAACAATGCGATTAGCTCAGGCTTTAAACTGGTTTCGTTCCTAAGCTTTTGCCACAAGATTTTGTATAGCACTCGATCAAACGCTTTAGACAGATCCAAAAAGCAAGCATATACCGGTGTTTTTCTATCAGTGTAATACCGCACAGTCTGCTTGAGGCACAGTATTGCGCTCTCTGTTGAAAGTTCCGGTCTAAAACCAAACTGCGCATCGTGCTCTTGAAAAGATTTACGTAACTGCGCGTCAAGCAGACTGTCGAGGACTTTAGCTGTTATTGTTGCCAAGGATATCGGCCTATAATTGGATCTGTCCGCCGCATCGCCCGTCCTGTTTTTAATAATAGGCACTACCACTGTTCTCATCATAGCCTCTGGAAGATAACTGTGGCTTACACAAAGATTGTACAGTAGCCTGAGGACTCTGGCAATGTGCACACCCGCATATCTCAAATGTTCAACGCTGAGGCCATCGTGTCCCGGCGACTTACCACGTTTCATGTTTCTAATTGCATCATTCACTTCCTTGAAAGTGAAACGCAAGGGGCTAATCCCCGAGTTCACGATGTCCTCACCGTCGTCCAAGCTACAAACTATCTTGCTAGGATCCACTTTGAACTGAGCCTTGAACATATTGGCAATGTTTTCACTTCCAGTTATGCCACCCACTTCTGCTGGAAGAGGCACCCGAGCGTTCAGGCCTTTCGTTTGCTGCCAGAACTCTCCGAATTTCTTCGCCTCACATGACATTGCCAATATGTCCATCTTGATTTGTTCCGCATTGTCTTGGCACCACTTAAGCTTGCTCTTAAAAGCCCTGCGCGAGTCTCGCATATCCTCATACAGAGCTCCACATGTCGGCCGTCCTGCCCAAACCCAGGTTTGAAAGCAGAGACGAGCCTTTATATGCGCCGGTCTCACATGTCTATTCCACCCTGTGATGTAGCCTTTCTTATTTCGTTTTAAACATTTATGGCTGTAACTCGCAGCATCCAGCAATATAGATGTAATATCGTCATACAATTTCTCTATGACTAAGTTGTGTTCCGGTTTGTCACACATCTTATCAGAACAATCCCTCAATTCCGGCGGAAAGTCAAGTAGCCTTAGCCCGCTATTACAAAATTCAGCATATAGTTTTACAGCATACACTTTAAAAACATTACTTTAAAAACATTAACAGGTGCAGTTACAAGTATATGTAATATTTTTATGTAAAAGGAGGACATGGAGTAGGCAAACATAAATTCATCGTTCAAGGGAGTTTTTAGATTTCCATTACATACACTATCTACTTACAAGTGTACATAAATTGTGACTCTAGCAGATACCCATGACTTTGGCAGTTTGGATGTCTGGATTTAAGTTTTTAAAAATCACAAGAAAACTGATTTTCCAGGATAAAAAGGTCCATCTCTTGGGTGCATAGAGCTATTTGTGTCAAATTCTGTCAAGATAACATTCAGTAGTTGACCTGTGTAGTGATGACAACAGACACACTTGCTTGTATAATATTAGAATTGATTATAATGAATTAATAATTATGCCCACTTAGTAAGCCTTTATTACTAGCTACTACCACTACAAAACAAAACACCTGTCAATAATACATGTAGAGATATACCTTTGTAAGTTTGTATTTATTTTATCTCAGATAACACCGGTAAGCTATCCAGTGAAGTCCAAGTGCAGGTGAAACGGTGCAGGGAGAATATAGAGCAGGATTCAGAGTTACATATATGGAGAGTCGAGAGGGACAATATTTAAAAAAGAAGAAATAATATTGGAAAAAGAGTCACAGCAAGCTGCATTTCAAGTAGATAAAAAACAATTTAGAAATCAAAAAACTTAAGTTTGAAATAGCAATATTGAAAAAAAATTAATAAATGAAATTATTCATAATGTCCATGTCAAAATTGTTTTATTTACATAATAAAATTACCTAAATTACAAAATTACAGTAATACACAATATTCATAAAAATTAATATGTTAAATTTGAAATACATTTCAAAAATGTTGTTCAATAAACATTCTCCCAAAAAGTAATCCCTGTCTGTTGGATGGTTCGGCATTCCTTCTGTCAATTCTTATTACTGGTGGTTCATTATTTTCTTCAATTTCATTATGCAAACGACATATTATATAAAATTGCTGTTCCTACTATTATATGGCATGTTGTTAGATTTGTTGCTAGATTTTTTTGACAAACATGGGAAAATTCTTTTCTAAACACCTATAGTTCTCTCAACAGTATTTTTGGTCTTAATATGAGCTTTATGATAATTTTGTTCAGCATCCGATTCTAACCATTCGGTGATCGCTGCCAGTTTTCACCCTTGCGATCACTGAGACATCACTGAACAGTTGGCATCTGGTCGTCATAATGAAGTCAATCTCATTTTTTGTCGAACCGTCGGGGCTCGACCAGGTCCACTTCCTGTGGGGCCGCTTCTGGAAGAAAGAGTTCATCATAAAGAGTCCCCCTTTCTCCATAAAGTCGGCTTGCTGCTGGCCCCTTCGGTTCCGTTGCCCTACTCCAAATTTCCCCACCTTCAGCTCACCGCTTTCTCTTGTGCCTAGTTTTGCGATGAAGTCTCCCATCAACACCGTGTAGTGGGTTTTGGAGGAATGCATGGCTCTGGAAATATCCTCATACATTTCCTCCACCTCCTCATCGGGATGTGCCGAGGTTGGTGCGTAAACCTGTATGACCTTCAGCGAATACCGTTTGGTGATTCTGAGTATCAGGTACGCGACCCTCGTCGACACACTCCCAATCTTTACAACGTTGTTGACGAGAGACTTATGGACGATAAATCCGACACCTCCTTGGGACAGATGGTCGCCCTCCCGGTGGTAGAACAAGTTGCCGGACTCGAGGATTGCCGTATCCTCCCCCTCTCTTCGGACCTCGGATAATCCAATAATATGCCAGCGCAACTTGTCTACCTCTTCTTCCAGCTCCAGTATCTTCTCGTCAGTCCTCAGGGTGCGTGCGTTATATGTTGCCAGGTCGAGTCGTCGTAGGTGGCAACCGAACCTCCACCGGAGATTCTTAGCACCCCCTGCTCCGCCGTTTCCATGGTCCCCACCGTAGCCAGGAATAGCGGGGACGCCGGGGACTGGGGGCCGTTTTTTTGCGTCGTTATTCATGGGGGGATATTTGCCATAGTTGCCACGCTTGGCGAGCGGGTTGGCAACCGCAGTTTTTTATTATAACACAGTTGTTATCAGGAAGATGCTGCTGCCCATCTCCTGCCTGTCTCCCTCTGTCGCCTCTTACGACACCCACGGGAAGATATGGGGTAGTCGATATTCTCAACCGCCACTACACGGCCCAAATGGTTAGAGGCACACTGAACCTAAACGTTAAGTTGGAGAGGTCTCGTCTAATGAAGTCAACGCTCCGTCCCCCTCGTGCTGTAATCCAGAATCCCGAAACCTTTCAGCTCGAGTTACAAAACCGCTTTCAGTGCCTAGAGGATTGCAATGCAGTGGACGATATGAATGACAAGCTCGTGGAAACTGTCCATGCGGTCGGAGCTAAGTTCTGCAAGACCCGCCGCAGAAGAACACAAAAACTCTCCAATCACACTCTTAATCTCATGGCTGTTAGACGGGAGATGAGGCTGCAATCGTCAACAGATTTGACAGCATACAGGCAACTGAACCGACAGATCTCCAAATGCATGCGGCGAGACTTACGCAACTTTAATACTGCTCGTATTAAAGAAGCGATCGAGCGGAACCAGGGCTCCAAAGTCTTTGTCAGAGATCTGTCTGCCAGAAAGAGCCAACTGTCAAGGCTGAAGACCGAGTGTGGCAACATCGTTTCCGGGACACCTGAGATTCTGAGTGAGATTGAGAGGTTCTATGGGCAGCTGTACACATCATCGTTGGAGCCACAAGCAAGTGTGAGTAACGATCCAAGAGCAAGTCTTATCCGACACTATTCCGATGATATCCCGGACGTCAGTCTGAGCGAGATTAGAATGGCTCTCCACCATCTTAAAAACGGCAAGGCCCCGGGCGAGGATGGAATTACAGCGGAGCTTCTGAAAGCGGGTGGAACACCGGTACTTGAAGTCCTTCAGAAGCTCTTCAATTCCGTCCTCCATGGTGGCATTACTCCGGAGGCGTGGAGCAGAAGCGCGGTGGTCTTGTTCTTTAAGAAAGGCGACAACGCTCTCTTGAAGAACTACAGACCGATTTCCCTTCTGAGCCGCGTCTACGTGCTGTTTTCGAGAGTCATTACGAATCGTCTCGCACGCAGACTCGACGACTTCCAGCCTCCCGAACAAGCCGGTTTCCGAAAAGGCTTCAGTACCATAGACCACATACATACCCTACGGCAAATTGTACAGAAGTCCGAAGAGTACAATCTGCCACTTTGCCTGGCGTATGTGGACTATGAGAAAGCCTTTTTTCCGATTTTTTCCTATAAGATTTCCTATAAGATTCCGTCGAAATATGGGCGGTGCTACAGTCTCTTCAGCGGTGCCTAGTTGACTGTCGGTATATTGAAGTGCTGAAGTGTTTGTACAGTAGGGCTACGATGGCTATCCGAGTACAGAACCAGAGTACGAAACCTATCCAACTGTAGAGAGGTGTAAGACAGGGTGATGTTATATCCCCGAAACTCTTCACCGCTGCGTTAGAAGACGTTTTCAAGCTACTGGACTGGAAAGGATACGGTATAAACATCAATGGCGAGTACATCACTCACCTTCGATTTGCCAACGATATAGTCTTTATGGCAAAATCGCTGGAGGTCCTTAGCACTATGCTCAATGACCTCAATGGTGTCTCCCAACGGATAGGTCTTAAGATGAACATGGACAAAACAAAGATCATGTTTAATGTCCATGTCACACCTATGCCGGTAGTTGTTGGGAGCACTATGCTCGAAGTTGTTGACGAGTACGTTTACCTGGGACAAATAGTCCGACTAGGTAAGTCCAACTTCGACCGAGAGGTCAATCGACGGATTCAACTCGGCTGGGCAGCGTTCGGGAAATTACGACACATCTTCTCGTCAGGTATACCTCAATCTCTGAAAACCAAAGTGTATAACCAGTGCGTATTGCCAGTGATGACTTACGGATCTGAGACGTGGTCCTTCACCGCTGGCCGTATGAGGACGCTCAAGGTCGCTCATCGAGCTATGGAAAGGGCTATGTTCGGAGTTTCACGAAGACTCAGAAATGAGGATATCCGCAGTAACACCAGAGTGACCGACATAGCCCAACGGATTAGTAAGCTGAAGTGGCAATGGGCCGGCCATATAGCTCGAAGAACCGATAACCGATGGGGAAGAATGGTTCTCGAGTGGCAGCCTCGTACCGGCAGGCGTAGTGTAGGGCGACCCCCCACTAGATGGAGTGACGACCTGGTAAGACATGCAGGAAGTCGATGGATGCAGGTGGCTCAGGACCGTGCTTTGTGGCATTACTTGGGGGAGGCCTATGTTCAGCAGTGGACTTGTGAAGGGCTGTAATGATGATGATGATGATGATGATCCGATTCTGGTCATAGAACTGGTGTAAATAGATATGTTTGGCAGCCATAACCATTGTCACCTAAAAGTAAGCCGTGAATTTCTCCTCCTTCCAGCCTTGCTTTTAATCTACTTGCTTGAAATATGGGATTATCGTGGAATAAACCTGGTCTGTCAGCTATAATGTCATATATTTCTAAGTTAGGGCCACACATAAGTTGTATGTTTATGGAGAATTTTTTTTTGTTACGGAAAATTTTTACAAAACCCTGGAGGAAATTCAGCAGAATTTCCTCCAGGGTTTTGTATAACAATATGTGTGCAATCTATGCATACTCTTACTCCAGGAAACTGCGCAATCTGATAAACTTTTAGTTTTGTATATTCACTGTTCTCCGGGAATTTTATGTACCGTTTTATTTGCAAACCAATTAAATAGGACACTCTTTTAACGGTTCTTGAAACGGTTGGTTGGCTAACACTAATAAGATCATCGCTAATAATTTGAAAACTGGTCGAGGCATAAAATCTGTGTGTGTGTGTGTGTGTGAGTGCAATTAGCAACTGGTACACTGGGGGAATTGGAAGTCCTCTTTTTGTAAGTTTCTCGATATT